TTTCCAGGGAATATGATTTTTTAAGAATGGACATACATTTGAGAGGTATTTAATACCCCTCCCAGAAAAGCCATGCTTGGAGTCTAATTCTGACCCAAATTAGGTCTAAATTTTTAGGTCAAAATGGGGTTCACCCAAAATCTAGTCACTAATTCAAGACAGATTTAGGTAGTCTGTGTTTCCACTCATACAAGCAGACTGTACTGTCAATTACAGAGTTCAGTGAGAAACTAAATGTAAACATGCACCTCGTTTCATTGGTTGAAAGCTATTGATAATAAATTGAAAAATAAAAATAAAATACTGCTGCCATAAATAAATCCAGTGGGGTTTATGGTAAATTAAATGTGTAAATTGTCACCTTTTTTAATCATACACATAGTTTCAAGAGACATTTCCAAAGCAAATGTGATATTTAAGAAGTGTAAAGTTTGACAGCATTTAAAAAAAAATGTCAGCCAATAGTAATTATGTTTTTAGTAAAAATGTAGCAAATATTTCTCTTCCATTTTACTGTAGTCTTAGCCTGTAGATGTTAGGCTAAGTTTTGGTCCTGAGATGATTTTAATTAGAATCTAAACCAATTTTAGTTAGAATCCGGCTTTGAGTTGAAAACAAACAAAATATTGCAATTCGTGGAAGAAACACCTCTTCCTCACATTTGCAATAGCTCTTTCAGTAAAAGGAAATAAATACCTCCATATTGTGCCCTCTGCCGTGCTGTGTATGCTTTGTGGCTTCTAACAGTGGTGTAAAGGTTGTGCAGAAAGTTAATTATGAAATGTAGGCCCCTGCTTTTTGAAGGCGCCTATACTCTTGGGGCTTATTCCCAGTTCTTGTGAGTGGGGCAATCACTCGTTCAATNTTGGGGCTTATTCCCAGTTCTTGTGAGTGGGGCAATCACTCGTTCAATAGCACTTTAAATAAGGCTCCTGATAGTAAATGACTCTACCAACACTGAAACAAATTTTTTATTGAAGTTTAGTAGAGAAACATTTAAATCTACAGTATCAGCTGAGACTCGTATAAAAAGAAAATATTTCGGAAAAAGACTCTTTGATAAGGGGTTCTGTCAGTTTATAGATCAGCAGGGACATGCACCTGCAAGAGCAGCACACATCACTCACATTTTCTGTGTTGAAGAAAAGTCAAGACAAGTAGTTTTCTGTACAACTTTGAAATAGCATTGATTCCACTGTGTATCCACATGTGCATGCCCCAGCAAGATAATGTACGGCTTGTTTAGTTATGCCACATCTGTGATGTCTACAGTGTCTATTATCTCTGAACATCCCAATAACCGTTTTAAACTACTCAAGTATCTTGCATTTTCATATAAAATTTAACCATTCTTAATAGTCAAGCTGGTTTAATTTGGAAACATTTACTTTTCTATTTATGGACACTTTAGTGGACTGAAACTGGAACCGAAATTACTTTGCTCTATTATGTTTTTTTTTTTTTTTCTTTTACAAAAGACCTTGTATTAAAGAGGTCTTCATTACTGGGACTTTTTTTTTTATGTAAATGCTATTTATGTAAATAGCTTGTAACACTTTGAAGGGACCTTTGCATATTTATAAAAATCAGCCTGGTTAGTACTAGGACACCTTATTCAGCACTGCACTTTAAGCATAGATTTGCAAACAAAGAACAATATACACACAAGGTTTTTAAAATTAATATTAGTTGTGTATTTTGTTTGTTGGCATTTGGCCTTTTGTTCTGGGCTCCTCAAAGATACTCTCCATTAACAATTGGGATTGTTGTCTGTGGAAAAGAGAATTGATGTTTACAGGAAGCAAGGGTTACCGTTTAGAAACTTTAGCAAGTGTTAATGTAAAGTATGATGGGAGTTAGTACAAAAGAAGTGATGTGTTCTCTCCAGCGTGTTTGGGCAAATGCTTCCCCGGGGTCCAGACACCATTAATAGGTTCTGGGAGAGACCATGGAAAATATAGGGGGATTTGTGCTCATAGTTTTTGGGATTTCTATGGTGTTTGGGTGTAAGTTTAAATCAGAAAATTTTCATAAAAACATCATACTTATGTGTGTGCATATATTTGATTTAAATGTGTGTTTTTGATGTATCATGACTGTGTCAGCCTACATTGACAAATGCATTGTGGATGTCAGCATCAAGAAGAACATCACCAACCAGGCCAACCAACGACCCTGGATGAATGGAGATGTTCGGAAATCTCTATAACCACGGAACTTAGAGGCACACACTTAGAGAACAGCACGTGCCAACTTAAACTGTGCCATCAGCAGAACCACAGTCTTCCACGGACATTCAACGTCTTCCAGTTTGCCTACCGACATAACCACTCCACTGAGGACGCCTTCTCTGCTGCTCTCCATCTCAGCTTGGCACACCTGGAGGAGAAGAATTCCCACGTGCGGATGCTGTTCCTGGACTTCAGTTCAGCTTTCAACACCATCATCTTACAGCATCTGATGGGCAAACTGGAA